CGTCTCTCCTCTCACCCGGTCTCTCCTCTCACCCGGTCTCTCCTCACCGCCGGTCTCTCCTCACCCCGCGTCTCTCCTCTCACCCCAGGTCTCTCCTCTCACCCGGTCTCTCTTCACCCCCCGTCTCTCCTCGCACCCCAGGTCTCTCCTCACCCCCGGTCTCTCCTCACACCCCGTCTCTCCTCACACACAATTCATGACAGGAGCAGACGCCGCGTCATGCCACCTCCCTCACCCGTCACCCGCCGCACTGAACGGCGGTCTCCGGCACCAAACAACCCAGAGCAGGAAGAGGCAGAAGCACCGCGACCCCGGAGCTTCCCGGCCCCACAGCGCTGTCACCACAGCCCCATCGCCTCCCCTCCCCCGCCGGGCGCTGGCAGACGCTCACCTGGCCGCCGCCTCTCCCCTCGCCTGACGGCCTGCGGCCTGCTCCCGGCGGGGGCCTCCCGCCTCCGGGAGGGCCCGCCTGACGATGCCGCCGCCTCACGATGCCGCCGCTGCCGACCGCTGCGCCCCTGTATTGACAAGCGCGTCGCGGTCCCGCTCTGAAATACTTCCCCGGCCCAGGAAGCGAGGCCCGGCACACAGGTTCCAGGCTGCAGGAGCGTCCTCCTTCCCGGACGCCCTGCCGGCGCGCGCCGTCTGCTGATGCCACACCACACAGCGCACCACACGGTTCCTCACACCTTTGGGGACAGTGGCGCGTGCGGGTCTCCGCACTGTTCTCCCGACGCCCCCATGCATGTTGGCAATCGGAACACACCGGGGACCCGACCGCTTTTAGCAGCCCCTGTCCAAGAGAATGACCAGAGATGCCAGCTCTTTCTGAAAGTGGACCATCAGAACTGTTAAAAAACGGGTCTGCTGAGTGAGCCCTAAAGATCTGGGCTTATTTGACGATCGTGAGGCGGGCACATGGACAGGAGCTCCCGGAGCTGTACCGGCTGGAAGACTTCCATAGGCGGAAGGACGGACAGGGAAGCTATTCTAGCAAAAAGCAGATGGTTTGTGGCAAGGTCGCTTCCTTTAGGGGACGGCAGGGGTCCATCAGGCAGGTGGCCTCACCAGCGCTGAGCAGGACATTCCTGAGACTGGTGTAAGATTCCGTTTCTGGGAGAACCGAAACTGTAATTAAGTCTGGGTGTGGTGACCTGGAGCTTAGCATAAGTGACTCCATTTGGGGCCTGTTGTCTTGGGTTTCTTTGTTTTGTTTTTGTTTTTGGTGAGGAAGATTGGCCCTGAGCTAACATCTGTGCCCATCTGCCTTTATTTTCTATGTAGGTCACCACCACAGCATGGCTTGATGAGTGGTGTAGGTCTGCACCTGGGATCTGAACCCAGGAACCCCCGGCCACTGAAGTGGAGCCCCCGATATACCACCCGG